AAAAAAAAAAAAAAAAAGTATACAAACTCTTAAGTCTGAACCTCTAACACACATAAAAGGGAGAGTTCAAACAAACAAGTAACTAACAAAGCCTCGGTAGCTGCAAACACACAAAAGCATGATCTACCTACGTGTTTGATTGAAACTGGAAATACGGTTGCAAAAAGCTCTTTTTTCTGTCTCACCGCTGCAGCTTAATTCTAAAACTGATATCCAAGTATCCAACGATGTTGGCGTTGGAGGTGAAAGTCTATGAGTGCATGTATGTTTACTGGATTTGAAACTTAAAATGGTAGATTTGATGTTTATGGATGTTGCATCGTTGATCTTTGCTGGAATTAAGAGTTTAAGGTCCAGCAGTATCTATGTTTATTGGCACCAGATAAGTTGATGATCAGATATGAGTGCTGGAATTTAGAAGATAGAGCCAGAAAAGTTGATGGGGAAGGGACAGATGGTAGTGAATTGAGGGTTTTCTTTGGGGAGGGGGGAGGGGGTGTGGAAGACCTCTTTGATAGAGTAACATAAGGGAGACAAAGAATCCATTATATGTGATCGAAAATCCAGAATTTCTTGTGCAGCTTCTTGGAAAGGACCAGTGGTGGCCAATGGCATGAGACTGTCCACAGGAAATGGTTGGCTGGTAATATGGTTTTTTGTCCTGTTTTTCCTGAGGGAAGATACAATCTAGATTGATGGCTACCTCAAAAGCCAGTTCCAAGAAGATTGAGTTCAAAAGATTGTTGCCTTTTCTGGAAAAGCACATCTAATGCCAGCCCTTAGAGAAGAAAACAACTCAACAGGGAGTGTGCCTCCAGGATAAGGTGAGGGAAAAAATTGTTTTGGGACTGCCTGTGGCATACTCTTCCAGGCTGTCATGAGTTTTGAACAAGACAACTCAGGCCATAAGTGCTATTCGTAAGAAAAGGAAGACAATGAGTAGAAAAAGAACAAGCACTTGAGTCTGAAGGCCTGACCTTGTGGACCGCAGGCAGTGAAGAGTGAAAGAAACTTTTTAGTTTGCCTTATCTTCAATTTCTCTGATAGTCAAACATTCAGGTTCATGTGAAGTGGAATTAGTAGCACATGTTGGTCCACGGCATGGTTTAGTTGCTGATTATTTCTTTCAGTGTATATATATATATACACTTTCAAATCATGTCGATTGTCCCATTATCATAGAAGCATACTTATTATAGTATAATTGGAAATTATGCACCAGAAACTTATACTCAAATAGGAAAATAAATAACCACGAGCTTAAAGTTCAACTTTCTGATGTAGTAGCGTATGGCAAGAACATGGCGAGTATAGTGTAAATACAAAATCCGGAAAGTCTTACTGAATGCTTTTGAAGTTTGTTGCTGTTTTGTACACACTTTATGGCCACATGTTTCCTTTCACAGGTAGCAATCACGTAAAATGGGCAACCCTGTCGCACTTATGCTCATTACCTTTCTGCGGGTTTAGGATATAAATCTTTGTTTTTGGTCCTTTCCTTCTGGTCAGAATGTAGCAGTGATGTGTACGGTGTACCCTTTCTAAATATGAGTTAAAGTGATGTGTATCCATTCTAACACGCCTGAGACAATTGAACTCTTCACGGGAAAAAAAGTTCACATCAAGTACTGTTAATACAAAGTTAGAGAACATTAATTGAACACTGTCAATGGTGTTTGTAGAGCCGTAGAGGTATAGAAGACGTATAGTGAGATGAAATGAGAGGAGCGGAATAAATATTTCTAGGATACGGGACTGGAGTGTCGCTGGTTCTCACTCTATATCTTACCTCGGTAGAACTATGTTATGTGATTTTAACCAAGTTGAAATTTGATCTTAAAGGAAAACTGTGAAATGTTCGACTAGAATATTTCTATAGGTACTGCCAAATAGTAAAAAGTCGAACAACGGTGCTGGTTGCTTTACAGGGATCACTAGCTGGTTTCTTATTGCTTACATTAGCTCTGTGATATTTGTGTATCAGCATTATTGTGGTGTTCAGTATTTTGAGTGGACAATTTAATTGGTCATTTATCTTTTGCAGGTTCTGGATTTCGACTTTGAAAAGTTCTGTTCGGTCTCGCTATCAAATTTGAATGTGTATGCGTGTTTGGTCTGTGGTAAGTATTTCCAAGGAAGAGGTCAGAAGTCACATGCATATACTCATAGCCTTGAAGCAGGACATCATGTCTACATCAATCTTCGGACAGAGAAAGTTTATTGCCTGCCTGATGGTTATGAAATTAATGATCCTTCACTAGATGATATTCGACATGTTCTGAACCCAAGGTTCGTTGCTATATCTATTAAACGCTGCTCAACATCATGTCTTCTCTTCTGCATTCATATCTGGACATAATGTGATCAACTTTCAAGCTTTGTGTTTATTCATGTATTTGCGATCAAGTGTGTTTTCCACTTTTTTTTTGCTCTGCTTGGTGGGTGTAATTCGTGATTATTGAATGATTTGCATTTTGGGATGAAGCTTGTGAAATTTACTGTTTATAGTCTCTATTTTGTAGTGTATCTATAAATGCGTGATACCAACTGGTGATAGTATGTTTTTAAAAAAAAAATCATCTCTTATTGTATTTGGTATTTGATTTCTATATTATCATAGTTATGGTGTTTAAACAATTCTGGTGTCACCTCATAGGTTTAGCAGAGACCAAGTTTTGCAACTGGATAGAAATAGACAATGGTCAAGGGCGCTTGATGGTTCTGATTATCTTCCTGGAATGGTAACTCATCATCACTTTTGTTTATATCGCATTTATCTTTTGTTGTTTGCTGCCTTTACTTTGCTCAAATCAATTTGTTGGGTAGCAGAAATTGTTCCTTTTTTTCTCTCTGCTAATTGAAAATATTCTTTTGGTGATTCTCTAGGTGGGGCTTAATAACATCAAGGAGACTGACTTTGTCAATGTCACCATTCAATCTTTAATGCGAGTGACTCCCTTGAGAAACTTCTTTCTCATCCCTGAAAATTACATGCATAGTAAATCAGTACTTGTTCACCGCTTTGGTGAGCTCACTAGGAAGATATGGCATGCACGGAACTTCAAAGGACAGGTTTGATAATAACAAACACTAGGTTTATATGTAGATCTAAGTCCTTTGCATATCTGATAATACTTTATTGAGCTGTAGGTGAGTCCTCATGAATTTTTGCAAGCGGTCATGAAAGCTAGTAAAAAGAGATTTCGTATAGGGGCGCAGTCTGATCCTGTTGAATTTATGTCATGGCTTCTCAATACCCTGCATAAAGACCTTAAAAATCCCAAGACAAAGAGTAGCATTATCCATCAGTGTTTTCAGGTATCGCCTACGCTAGTCTTTTTTCTATGGCAGCCTTTTTTAACTTCATTTATTATTTTTTTCATTTCTAATTTGAATGGCTATCTATTCTTCCTAGGGAGAATTGGAGGTTGTGAAAGAGATTCATGTAAAAAATGCAGATGCTCAAAGTAATGGCAGGAATGCAGATGGCGGGAGTACAGCTAATAATATTGTGGCTGATACCAGTAGAATGCCATTCTTGATGCTTGGACTGGATTTGCCACCACCACCACTTTTCAAAGATGTGATGGAGAAAAATATAATTCCTCAGGTTTGTGATTTGAACTTCTTGTCAAGATTTTGTTTGCAGTATGGTGGATGCTCAAGAATGCTATTGCCCTATTGGATGGTCCTCTTAAATCAGGGTTTCAATAGTTATATTTATTGCCTGTGCAACTTAGGGATTTGATAACTTGACCAATTTATACATCAAGACTGTTGAGTGAGCTGCAAGTCATTTATTAAGATCGGTTTCTAGGGTAATGTTCAAATATGCTGAGCACATAGATAGTTATCCTTTTATACATGTTCAAATCCTATGTAGACTTGTTTGGTATGAACTGTCATTTTGATTAGGTGGCTTTCGTCTTCTAGTTGACTTCTTTCTTCAGATATCCTAGTTAGAGCTTTAATGACTTGAAGACTAGTTGAGAGAGCTACACATCTACAGTGGTTGTCGCTAGTGACTTCTTTCAAACATATGTGCTGTTAAACACACCATCTGGATCTCCTTTGGCACCTCCAATGTATGGGTTTACTTGTTATACATTTATCAATGATGCCTTAGTTTGATGTAGCCTTAATATGGCATATTCATAGGACCATAGCTGCTTGTTATGGTTTAGGAATATTATTAGACAAAAAGAAGTCCCAACCCAAGGATCTGGAGTGAAGCTTAGGATGCCATGTGTGCAATAGTTGGTTATATTTTAAATCTAAAAGTGTTAATGCTCGGCATTTGTCTGTTGAGCGAGTCCGTGGGGTGTTGAAATGTATTTACATTAGTTGATGTTGTTTGTTAATACACTGATGTTAGATGATTATGTCTATGTTTAGATATTTACCTGTATCTGTAAGATTAGCGAAGTTTCATGCCACTTGCTTGATTTGCTTTTGACCTTTGGTTCTTTGAAATCTATTAATGTCCCCGGTCCACTTATACGGAACTTTAGTATATAATTACATAAGCCTGTTCCCTCTCAACCCCTATCTCTTTCTGTGTGTGTTTGTGTGTATAATGCATTTGTATCTAATATCTATCTGGGTGTTTCTTGTGTGTTTCTCTAAGGTCTTCAAATGATTTTGAGAACTAGAGCCTGAATTTTCTTTTGGGCATGAGTAACTTCTTTGTGTCCATAATGCCAAGCTATTGAGTCAAGAAAACAACCTCTTTGTTAAATGCAAGGGAAATATTTTGTACAAAAATTATGATTACTGGTCTTGAATAATGTGACCTATAGGTTTTAAGTCATTCTTATGGTTCTTGCAGCATTTAAATTGTTCTGGAGTGGTTATTTTGATTCCGCATCTTGTTGACGTTGACTTAAATAATGCTTGTAGGTTCCGCTTTTCAACATACTGAAGAAGTTCGATGGCGAGTCCATTACTGAAGTTGTGCGTCCTCGTATAGCCAGGATGAGATATCGCGTTACAAGACTTCCACAGTATCTTATTCTCCATATGCGTCGGTTCACTAAGAATAATTTCTTTGTGGAGAAAAACCCAACCCTTGGTGAGTCCTAGTGATGTTGTTTATCTCATGTTATGACTCATCTAAAGACATAAATTCACCATTTAGTATATCCTCTATACTTCTTTCTATAGACAAATATTTGTTTTTAAAGAAATCATCTTTTTAAGTTGTTCTATGCATTTAGTAGAGGAGTAGATAACATGGTCAAATTTGCATCAATGTGGTTGATTTTCGCCTGGGCGTTTTGGTAGACTGCACTTGCACTGCTCTCAAGGGGGGTGAGGTGATTTCTGAGACTTTATAGGGCCTAGTTCATATAATTAGTTATCTTTTATGATTATATTAATTACATATCTTTTATTATTAGGATATCTTCTAGTATGCTGTTTGATTAATGGTATGTTTAGAAATCTTGGTATTTATCGTTGATTAGGGTCTAGGTTTTTCCGGAAGAAAAATTAAGTTTAATATCCTAACAAGGAATTCTGTTATCATTCATCTTTAGGCTTGAGAATTTTCAATCAAACTGTGGTTGCTTTTTTTTTAACTGACTATACGCTTATTTATTACTGTTTTTTTTTTAATTTGAAAGTAATACTACTGACTACACCATTCATTTGTATTTCTTTGTCGTTATTTTTCAGTTAATTTCCCTGTGAAGAATCTGGAGCTGAAGGATTACATACCATTACCTATGCCAAAAGAGGAAGAAAAACTGCGTTCCAAGTATGATTTGATTGCTAACATTGTTCACGATGGTAAACCAGGTGAAGGATCATATAGGGTGTTCGTTCAGCGGAAATCAGAAGAGCTCTGGTACACACATGAACGACATCTATGGATATAAATTTTATTTTATTTTCCAATATAATCCGAGGTTGTGATTATTGTTCTTTTGTCAGGTATGAGATGCAGGATCTCCATGTTGCAGAAACTCTTCCGCAAATGGTTGCACTTTCCGAGGCTTACATGCAAATATACGAGCAGCAGCAGCCGGCACAGCCACAGCCACAGCCGATGCAGTTGGAGTGATGTCTTTTGGTACTTACTTCCGATATTTGGTTTCACTCGACTTTATTAGGTAAGCCTTCTATGATGTCGGATTATATGTGATGATTTTTGTAGGCTAAGATTTCGTATCCAAAAATGTATGATAATCCGAGTAAAATTAACAAATTCGCAACATGACTAAAACCTACCTTTAGGTACTCAAAAAGGGTTGAATTTGGTTAGAGTTATCTTATTCACACATTTCAAATTGTTTGATTGCTTTTAGTTTGGTTTATGCTTATTGTAATTGGGTTCAGAGGTTCCATATTCAAATGAGGTTGGTTGGTACTTGAATGACAGTCTAGAATGTAATAAAACTGAACTGATTTAAAATTTGACCATGTTTTTTATTGATGCAAACTGAACCGATTCCTTCCAATCCAATCATCCACTGGATTGGATATTTGGATTTCAACCGATGAACACGAAAATGTAATGATTGATTTGTACATTTGTGTTGTATTCTTTTGAAGTCTTTACAGACTGGCCAAATCAGCTTTTTTTTTAGCTTCTGTTTGCATTATCAACAACTTTTCGTAGATACCAGGACATAGGTGAACCAAAAGAAAAGGTGGTATAAAGATGTTTCCATTGGCCGGGATTCTTAAAATTCGCAAGCTGCTTGTATAATATCTCCTCCATACCCAAATGTTTTTTTTATTAGCATAGGTATAATCAGGGTTCTAAAAGGCTTGTCACGTTTTCGTGTCTCATTTCATGTTAAGTTTGTCATATGACATGGCCTAGTGTCCATATATATATATATATATATATATATATATATATATATATATATATATATATATATATATATATATATATAT